GGACCATGGGCTACCTTAATGGGGTTGGAGTGCTTTACAGCTTTCGGTTTTTCCATTACAGGCATCCATGCCACTGTCTGCGCCGCTGACTTTGAAGACCTGGCCAGGGAGTTTGAAGAAGTCTTTAGTGAGTCTCTTGGTAAATATAGAGGGTCCCCAATATCTTTTAATCTAGACCCCAGTGTAACTCCCATCCATTTGAAGGCAAGGTGAGTCCCATTCGCTCTCCAGATTAAGGTAGACGCTGAATTAGACAAGCTACTGCAGCAGGGGGTGTTAGAGCCTGTAGATTATGCTAAGTGGGAGACCCCTATATCTGTCAAATCAGATGGATCCATTAGGATCTGTGCTGATTACAAATCAACTTTAAATAAAGCCCTTCAAGTGCATCCTTATCCTGTTCCTATGGTGCAACACTTGTTGCATTCACTGGGCAGGGGCAGCATATTTGCTAAGCTTGACTAAGCTCAAGCTTACCAATAATTGACAGTGGATGATGCTACTGCGGACACTCAAAAAATTGTCACACATTGTGGAGCGTTCCGATGCCGCAGACTCCAGCTTGGAATCTGTGTAGCCCCGGGCATTTTTCAAAGCATCACAGAGCAGCTGCTCCATGGGCTACCAGGGGTGTTACCCTATTTTGACAATGTGCTGATAGCAGCACAAAGTTGGGAGGCTCTGCTGTCTAAACTCAGGGCCATATTACAAAGATTCCGCAAGGCGGGACTCAAAAAAATCCAAGCACCACATTGGGGTGGAATCCGTAGACTTCCTGGGATTTCACATAGATGCCTGAGACATCCAGCCAACCCCTGCAAAGGTGGAAGTCATTAAAAAGGCTCCAGCCCCCACAAATAAAACAGAGCTGCAAGCCTTTTGGGGGATTTTAAACTTCTGCGCCATGTTTTTACCTCACAAGGCTTCCATTGCGGAACCCTTGCACAGGCTATTGGAGTCTTTCGCAGTAAGGAAATAGGGCAGCTGCGAATTGGCAGTAATTGGCAGGCTCTTATTGGTCCAGTCTGGCGGGAAGATTCCAGGTTTCCCATTGGTTAACTGTTTTGACAGCTCCACTATATAAGAGCTGTCAGGTTAAAGTGTTGTTTGTTCATTGTTAGTTATTAAATAAAGCAGTTGTTCCAGCAATTGGTCTCCGTGCCTTCCCTCAGAGCTCAGACTATAGCAGAGGGACTCACTGAAGAAGACCCTAATGCTGGGAAAGATGAAAGGCAAAAGAAGAAGGGGGTGACAGAAAATGTGGTGGCTGGATGGAGTCACCAAAGCAGTTGGCAGTTGGATTCAGGGGGATGGTAGAGGACTGGAAGGCCTGGAGGAATGTTGTCTATGGGGTCATGATGGGTTGGATACAACTTTGCAACTAACAACAACAACAAATAATGTATAGGTATAGGATGCTCAGACTTGAAAGATTCTGTTATTATAGCCCATCTTAACAAAAATAGTTTTAGCCTTCTTGGGGATTTGATTTCCTGCTCTGGTCAACCTTGTATGGCTGATATCCTGAGGTTCCATATTCCCCTTGGTGATACCTTCTATGAAAGTTTCCAAAAAAATATCTGGTGGTACTGTTTGAAGCTGAGGAATGAGCTTCCAAGCCACCTCTAGTTTTGTGTTCCTTGTCTAACAAAATATATTACATACAGAAATAAATAAACAAGATCTTGTATACAAGATCAGTGATGGACTGGAGCAGGTGCACCGTTCTACCTCCTGATCCCCCTTTCAACCTTCCTCTGATCCTTCTTTGGCAGTTGCAGCAAGGACAGCTGGCAGCCCTCCATCCAAGAGAAGACCCCTGCTAAGGACCAGTATCCCGGCTGCTGTTTTCATTTTGCCAGAATGCCTCTGGGTCCTTATTTTTAAGGGATTCTGGGAAAAACTGGTGGTTTATTTCTTCCGGAAGAATAAGCTTAGCACTACTGCTTGTTGTTAATTAAAAAGAAAACTAATGGGAGAAACAGGGATCTCTTCAGCAATGTTGCAAAAGCAAGTTAGGCCTCAGCCTATGGATTGGGCTGGTAACAGCAGTTAAATATCAATATAATCTTGTCTTAATGATGTACAGTATGATCTCTTGTTGATGTATATTGTTGACGCATTCCATATTAAGCATGTTTTTCTTGTTTCCTGCAATTTATGTCATACCAAACAGGATTCTGAGATGTTTACACTCTTCCATTAGAAAACTGAAGTAGTAATCAATGCAACAAGGACCAGCAGCAGCCCTCGCATGGGTGGAACATCAATAGGACACAGGAATCCGTAGAAGGAGCATTCCTCTTAATACAAATCATAAAAAGCCAAAACAAATCTGTTTGGAATAGCTGAGTTTTAATGGCTTTCTGCAAAACCAATCAGGTGATGCTCTACTGAGAAAGTGATAGGTCTACTGAGAAAAGTCTCGAAGATGACACTCCTGAAGAGGAGGAACTTGGAGGGATCCAGGGGTGGGCTGCTGGGGATATGCAGGGGTTCGGGAGAACCTCTAGCTAAGATTCTGTGCAGTTCGTAGAACCCTCAAATCCCATTCCTGGCTGGCCCTGCCCTGCCATCCCCACCCTTCCCAGGAGTCCCCATATGGCCTGTTTTGGATGCAGGTAAGCGCAGGGCACACACAGAGGCTTGGGAGAATGAAAAACAGGCCTATCACAAGTTCGGGATGGCTGGAAACAGCCTCCAGAGCCTGGGGAGGCCGTTTTCGCCATCCTGGAGGCTTGAGAAAAGCCTCTGGAGCCAGGGGAGGGCAAACCCCTCCCCCCATGGTGCAGGAAGCTGACTAGGCCAGTGTTTTTCAACCTTTTTTGTGCAAAGGCACACTTTTTTCATGAAAAAA